GTTGAGCCGAATGCGGACTGCGACGGCGTTTGTTGGTAAAATTATCTTGATAAGGTGTTGTGATTTGATTATGCGCGTGCGAGATAGTCAGCTGTGTACTACTTCAGACCGGTTCATGGACGGCATTTGTGTGTACATTCACCCCGCTCCTTTCCTATCTTGAACGTCATTTGCACTGTTCACCGCATAAATTGTAGCCATATGATTTAAATTGTTTTTAATAATTTCCGGCACTGGGTATTTAGTTATTTTTTGACCCCTATTTTAAAGGATAGCCGTTTGGTCGCCAACGGACCGCCGGGTCAAACGTCGGACGGGTTGTCGGAAATTAGCCATCGTCGGAACTGTGATGCTAATTTTCGTCCGTAGCGATAGTCATTTTTGTTGTGTACGTTACAACTTTTTTTTTTATATATATATACATTTTTTTTATACGTGAGTGTCCGCCGTTTATTATGTAATTAGTGTTTATATTGGCGTCGGCTAAACCTGCCTCCATATTCGTTAACCCTTCGGGGCTGGTAATGTATATTTTTGTTGTAATGTTTTGAGCCAGTTTTTTTTTTAGTGCGTCGTGCCATAAAACTTTTTCCACAGAAATACATTTTTAACTATAAATTCTAAAAAAATTGTATATTAATAGCATAGATTTTTTCACCTACGACTTTCATTACAATTTTTTAATAATTCATATTTTTAACAAATCTTTAAAAAATAATTCAAGTATTTACTCATAAAATTTCCAAAAAAAGTTTTTAAATTACCACCCAAATACTATTAATAATTATGTATTTGAAATAATCTTCAAATACAAAAAAAAACACATTATAGTAAAATTAATACCTTCTCAGCTTCGCATCGAAGCTATAAAACACAATTTGTTATAATGTACACAGTGAAAAGAAAAATTCACGGACGAAAATTTGCGTAACAGTTCGGCTGATAGCTAATTTTCGACCAAACGCCCGTTGTTCGACACGGCGGTCTGATGGTGAGATCGGCTAACCTTTTGAGTAGGGGTCAACAAATGTTACTACCCATTGCCGGAAATTATTAAAAACAATTTGAATCAGAATGTATCATAAATCGACAATTTAAGTGGTGAGCAGTGCAAATGACGTTCTTAAAAGGACGTTCTTTCCNGAATTTAAGAAAAATTTTAGTAAAAAAATATCTTATTAATATTCAGTAGTAAATATTCTGTAGCGTTTTGAAGTTTGTGAAAATTTGAATTTTCATGTATTATTTTACGGTATTAAACATTGAAATACGTATTGAGAAAAGGACAGAAGAAAACGCTATATTTTCGTAATTACTGTGTATACTGTTACGTCACTATTTAGGGGGTCGACAGTATCCTAAGGGACCAACGGGGGAAAGCTGGCTAGGCTATATCTACCTTAGGTACTGAAGTTTCCTATTTAATTTATATTCCCTTAAAGGAACTACCAAGGGTCGCACTACAATATATATATATAACACTTTAGGTTAACAACGATATAAATAAATATTTACTAAACAATTGAAATATTAAATGGATAATACAACCTGCTGGACACCTAGAGATGATTAATCCAACAGGGAGCTGACGGCGACACACACACACACTATAATATACGGGGTAGCGAAATTAAGATAATTATCAGGCAAAAGTAGTGATCGCGAAGATGGTAAAATGTCAACTGTCGATAGGGATATCTTATAGAGATGTTAAGTTCGTGAACGAATAGTTCTTTTGAACTATTCACTTAGATGAACTATTCTGAACTGTTTCAGTACCTGTAACTTAACAGTTCACAGTTCGAAAAAAATTGGTAGCTATGTATAAATGAAATAGTTCGCGAACTTCTTTAAAAATTCTTTGTGGTTCGTTGTTCGAAATCCTGTAAATGGTTAATAGCTGTTGTAGAATTAGATAACAAATAAATTATATTGTTAAAACGTTACACGGTTTTTAACTGTTTAACAATAAAATAAATTCATACTATGTACAAATATTAGATCAGATTTCTGATTTAACCTAGGACTACTGGTCAATATATCTACCTTGAATTAGATGATAATGATAACATGAGCCATGAAGGTATTGATAATAATTTTTTCTTAGTTTATGATGTTTAGGTTAAGGGTTAGTTTATAACTTAATTGCCCATAAGTAGTGTGAACTACAACTGAACTGTGTACTGCTATACTAATAGTGATAAAATGAATAGTTCAATGCCAAACAATATCAGCATGATCAATAAAATTAGTGAACTTAAGAATAGTTCATTTGAACTATTCACTTGAATGAACTATGAACTAATGAACTATTCACAGAAATGAACTAAACTTTCCATCTCTAATATTTTATTATGGCACATTGGCCGTAAATTGCAAAAAGTGTTTATGTGTGCAGTCCGCCCTCCTGTTAGTAATGCTGTATGTCACTGTGTTATATATATATATATATATATATATGTCTATTAAACGGTACAACGATGTTATGGGAGACAGAGATATGGGCACATGCAAATGTGATCGTATCAATACATATGATGATAATGTGTATACATTACAAACTTGGCATTAATACTATGATAAGAAATTAGATAAGGCAATTATTACTATAATTAAATATGGTTATTCTGTTATTGCCCAGGATACTGGTTTTTTATTTTCGTTCAAAGTATTTCTCACTTTTATAAAATACCTTTAAAATTTTTGCACACATTTTTACTTTTATTACTTGCAATTTTTAGTATCGATGCGAAGCTGAGAAGGTGTTAGTTTTACTATGATGTGTGTTTTTTTTTGTTTTGTGTATGTAACCACTTTTTCTCAACGAAAGTCAAAAGATTACAAAAGGTATCTAGTTGTAGACATTACTCTCAAAAATTAAAAATTTTCACCTCGTTCCTCGTAATTGGTGAAAACCCTACAAAAAATTACGATTTTTAAAATCGGTAAGTTTTAACATATCTTTCACTTTTTTTTCTCTAAAAGTTGTTATAACTTATTGAAAAATGAATGGATCATAATCATTTTTTTATGATGAAACCTTATATATTTTCTTTTCTATTGATATCATATTTTGGAAATCTAACACTTAGCCTGCTCATGGGGTGGATTGAAAATAGCAACTTTTTTACAAAAACTAACTTTTTCAACTGAACTTTTAAAAATATTCCACTACTACTCCATCCTTCAAACATATATCTTATTAAAGCTTATATTACACACTATAAATAGAAAAAAAAATTTGTAGCGACACCTAACCTTTTTATGTACAATTAGCCGCTGAAGTTCAACAAATATCCAACAACATTTTCCTTGCCAAAATATTATAAATCAATTTTATCATGGAGGTCAGTTTTCTGCTCTATTAAATATCTATTAGAGTAATCATTGTTGAAGTTTTAAATTTCGCTTTTGGCCCTTTAGAACAAAATTAATTTACTATATATTAAATAAAATTGATTTATAAGCTTACCAAAAAGANCAAAATTAATTTACTATATATTAAATAAAATTGATTTATAAGCTTACCAAAAAGAGTTTCTTAGGCACTACCAAATAAATAATATTATTTTTTTTATTCTTAAATTACTAAAAAAATTATAACATAAAGAAAAAACTCGTAAATTTTCCACCCTCTTCAAAATCTTATGATTTAAAAATTTTACTATGGTATAAAAAAATAGCTTAGTTTTCAATTATATTGAACTGACTTTATTTATCTATAAAATTAATTTTGTTAGCTTATATATTCTTATATATTAAAATTATTCTACTGTGTGGTTTTCTTTTTTGTCTTTCATTTATTTTCTCAGCTCTCAATCGACTAATTTTTTAGAACAATACTTTAAATTATCACAATTAGTATCTATTTAAAGCTATTACCCTCAAAACTTGAAAAAAATTTACCCTTTATTAAAAAAAGTTCCTTAACGAAATTTGTATATAATGCTGTTATAAATCATTCAGTTTTAATGTTATTCAAGTATATATTGTCAAATTAGGTTTGATATGATACATAGGTTTCAACTAAAAAGTTGAATTATTATAATAATCAATATATTTGGTTTACATATAACTGTGTAAATAATTTCTAAAAAAAATGATTTTGGGTTTACCTACATTTAATTTTTACAATTATAATCAATTATTATAATACACTCAATTGAGTGAATTTTCTTAAAAAATGTTTAATTGTTTTATTTAGTATCATTGTAAAACTGAAAAGGTATTAAATTGTTATGCAAGGATTGTGTATACACTAAAAAGTATTACCTAAAAGTATCTACAATCGATTATACGCCTTCAGCTTCAAATATTATTGTTAACCATTATATTAGATAAAAAATGACTAAGTTTTTTATTTTTAAAAATTTTCAGAAATATTTTCTATTATACATGTCTTTTATTAAGTTTTTAAGATTAAAAATATTAAGAAATAAGGTGTTCATATTTTTAAGTTTATATGGTAATTTTAAGTAGATTAAATAGCTGTCAAATAAATACTGTACTTTTTAAGCTCTTGATTTTAATGTTAATAATCAATAAATAAATATTTATAACATTCAAAATAATTTGTTGTTTACAGCCATGAATTTTTCAACAACATTAAATATGTTTGCTAAAATGAATACATCTATCATACCGTTAAACATTCTAATATGATACTTAATTCTAAAGAAATAACATTGCCTAGTATCCATTTTTCTGACAAAGGGAAAATATTAATTACATAGAATATATATATATATATTAGAAAATATTTTATAAAGTCAAAAAATAAATCAGATAGTACATTTGTAAAAAACAAAAAACCAACAATATAATATTGATTAGTTTATATGCTTAAAATATCTAATATATAAATAGTTAAAATAACACTTATTTACGTGTAAGTTATATGACGTAAAAAAAAATACAATTTACAAAAATATCGAAATTTATTGTTAATTTAAAAAGCAGTGTATATTAAGTTGGCAAAATTTATAGTGAACACAATTTACACGACAATAAATTTAAAATATTATAACTAACATCTAAGAATTGTGAATTCTATATCTAATAAATCTCGATAAATACATCAATATATTTTTATTGTTCACATCATTTTTATTATTCATTTATAATTCATATATTTTTGATAAAAAGTTTTAATTTTAATAAATAGATAATTAATCAACAAGATGATTTTGAACTTATTTATTAAATTTATTATTATTGTGGTCACAATCGTTTCATGTAGAGCTGCTTTTAATTCTAATAAACAAAGTTCTTGCGAATCATTGGAAATAACGGAAACTCGGTATTGGAACTACGTTCAAAATGAAATCGTAATTCTGCCAACAGGTGAAAGTATAAGTTTGGCAGAATTGATAAACAGGAACAAAAAACATGTTGATAAACTAAATGGTGATGACGAATGTGAGTACAATCATAAATACATTAAAGACAATTTTTTTCGTACTGCCTCAGTTACAAGAGTATTAAAATATATTGGCTTAGTTTCTGAGTATGCTTATAGATTGAAGAATTCAAAAAGTTCAGATGTTGAAGGTTATGAATCTATACTACGTATAACAATAAGGACAGCAGACGAATGTATTAAAAAATTTCGTACGGAATATTTTTGGGAGAATGAGACAGACCTTGAAACAATGATCAATAATCTGACAAAGGGAAGATTCCGAAGTGATATTATTGAACACACTAGAAATCATATTTATGATGTTTTAAAGGAAGTACTTCAATATCAGCATAAAAATTACTTTTCATGTTTATGCTCAAAAAATATGGATAATGACATGAAAGTAGATTTATACCAAACTTTGAAGAATCAAAGCTTTAGTATATTTGATGTGCTTGATTCAAAAATTAAAAATATGAAGGATCTATACAAGCAAATGGATGTTATTAGTAAATATTTGGTGAATGAATGTGAACTTTAACTCAATGTAAAAAAAATTAATTTTAGTAAATTCATATCCTAAGGAATTATTAAATTTTTTTTTGTTATATGTGTAATATGTCATATATTTCAATCTTGAGTTAATTACTATAAAAATTATTTTAATTAATTATAAAATTAGCGTACTAAACTTGATGGATCCTAGTAATTACTATAATGTACCCTAATATTTTTTCTGTAATTATATAGCTCCCGCTCATAAAATAATAAGTGATCTAATTTAAAAAATGACTGGTTAATGACAACTTTTGACACATTATTTCGGAAGTTATAACTATTTTTAAGCATAAAATACAGGTGAATTTCAAATTGTGTTATTTTTATTATTACGAATAACTCTGCCGCAATCTTTCTCTGTTCTAATTGAATAATATTATTAAAATTATTACTTTAAGAGTAATTAGGTGACTAATATTAAAATAATAACTCTGTACATAACAACTTTATAATCTTTTAAAATTTCTTCGAAAAAATTACAATACTAAATTACAAAATATTATACTCTTATCAATATTTATATTAAATTAAATTACTGTAATAAGTATTAATTCATGTATTATACTTAAAATCATAAAATTTGTAATAAGGATATAAATAAGGAAATAGGAGTTCATGTTCAATTGGAATAATTATATAATTCCTTCTAAAAATCAAACACTATCTAAAGATTAGCATCAAATCTTTTTTTATAATAGTGATATTAATCACTTTCACATATCATCTATACTTGTCTGAACTATGCCGCATCACCACTATGCTGGTTTTTTACCATATATTTCAATTATTTTAACTATTTTTAAGTTATGGTAAAACTAGATGGTCTTAAGTTTATATTATTTGAGGACTATTATTCGTAGTAATATAAAAAAATTAATAAACTAATAAACACTAATTAAAAAAAAAAAAATAATTGTGGCTATAGTATTAAATATAGAACAGAACCAATAATGTATTTGGAATCAGCTCAGTTAGATCTTTCTGAACAACAATAGAAATCTTCATAGAGCTGCTTTCTCTATTTTAATTAATGAAAATGAACTTAAACACTGGTATGTTTGACCGAACGTATTTGATTTATTTTTCAACATTTTCAAAAAAATCTAGAAAATTTTCCTTTTTTGAGAAATGAAATAGAATATTTAAAGAAGATCTTTAATTTAAATTAACTTATACTTCAACTATGTCGATAACTATAAGTGTATACTTAAAGTTAATCGTATTTATTAATATTAATTAATTTTTCTTAAGTAAACCTATTTAAAATTTATAGAATATTTATTCATTTGTACCTCCATTATATATCTAAATATTTATGCACTATATTTTTTTGTTTTAATAACTTTATAGACTAGAAGGAATTTTTGAATTAAAATTAAATAAGAAAAGTTAAATTTTATAGTTATAATAAAAAATTTTATTTAATATATATAAAATTTAATATAATATAAAATTTCTATATAATAATTCTAAATATTTCAAATACATTTTATTTGTGATGTTTTTATCTAGCTATTGCATAGAAAACAAATTTTTGATATATTTATTCACACTCAAACCTTACGCCGAAAAATAAGAATGCGATTTAAAACAATTTTATTTGTTCCTTAAAATTATTTTCGAAAAATTTGTCATTTGTTTTGTTAGATATTTTCAAAAAAGTTTGCGAATATTACAATATTTTTAAATTCAAGATAATCTTGCCCTGTTTTTCTCAATATGGCAATAGTTCATTGTATGATGTTTGTAATTTTATAGGTGGCAAACATATGGTAAATATTATTAACACGTCATTAAAACTTGTAAATAATTTTTTAAGAACTTGTAAAAATTATAAATAATGCAGTCAAGTTAGTTTTTGAGGTATTTATTGTTCATTAACGTTGCATTACATTATTACCAAATAATTCTTGGTAAATAATCAAAATAAAAATGGCAAAGAAAATTTGTTTGCATTACATAACTGTTACAATAGCAATTATTTTTTATCAAGCTGACGCAGATACAGATAATCCTAGCGATATAAAAAAACTGCATCCATGGAAATATGTTAAAAAAGAACATGTTTTGACCGCCACCGGATCTATTATATTATTAGAGGAATTGGTAGACTGTGTTATTAATAATAATAATTATAAACTTTCAGAAGATGATATTAATGTGTATAATTATGATTATATAAAAAATAACTTATTTAAGTCTGCAATGGTAACAAGAATTCTTAAGTATATTTGTTTATTATGCGAATATACTAAGGGAATAAAGAACTCTAGAAAATATATGGACTCGGCTCGTTCAACATTTTTTTTGTTATTAAAAGATGCACAAGAAATTTTGATACAATCTTACAAAATGTATTCCTGGTCTGGAGATACATATATAATCGAAAATATCATTAGTAAAATAGAGGAAGTTGAAAATTTAGAGTATTGGAAAGTTTTGAAATATTCTAAGCGTGTTTTTTTTCAAATTTTATATGAGTTACCAGTTTTTCAAGCTAAAGAATTTCAAAGTAATGATTTCTTACTTAATAAGAACTCAAAATTTGTAGAAAATGGTATTTTCAACTTATTAACAAATTCTGTAATATCGATTTTAGATTCATCTATAAAATTTAAAAATATGATTAATACTGAACAAAAAAAACTATTGTATAAATCATTAGAAACAGATGATTTTAATATATTTTGCATTTTTGATCCAAATTACAGTATAGAAAATATGGATTTTTTTATGGTAAATATAAAAAAAAACATGCAAAATGAATTTAATAACTATTCCAAACTTCCAGTTCCAAAATAACTAAATTAAATTAACCACAATTTTTACTACAATTCTCTGCAGAACTAACCTTAGTTAATATTATAACAGTGGAAACATATATTTTGTGATTATTTTAAAAATATCTCCCAGTAAAATAGTTATAGTACAAGATTCAACAAGGTTTATAATTCACCATTCAAAATAGTAAAACATTAATGTATTAATAACTAGGATATCATTTAAATTAGACAAATATACTAATAAAATAGGAACGAAACTGTGTAAATTTAAATTGGAAAAAAAGTGAACAGTATTTACAAAAACAAAAGATTAAAAGGCGATTTCTAAAATATTTCAATATAATATAAATATTAAATTATGTGTTTTTATTTAATTTTATTACGTTATTATTCTAATATTTTTAATGACTTTTATTACTATAGTTAAATATATAGTTGACATTTTTCAAAACTTTATTTTGTATTAACATTCTACTACAAAGTTTCTATAAGACTAAAATACTTTAAAAATAAACTTAACCATGTTTCGTTAAATAAAAAAACATTCATTATTACTATATGTTTGTATTATTAAATTTTTTTTAATATTGATAACAATTATTTCAACTATAAAGTGTTTCTATTAACAATATTTTAGTATTTTTTGAATTATCATATAATTTTCTCTTGAATAATAAAAAATAATAACAACATTAATATGAACGAAAAAAATGTTATAGAAAATGGTTCTGCTTTACCTATTTAAAATTACTGTTAAAAGTTAAATTACTTTAAAAGTCCAAATCAAAGATATAACTTTACAAAAGATTACAAAATTTAAATAATTACCATCATGATACAATAAGTAAAATTAAGGCCATTTTAATTACATATATGAGGAAAACAACCCGCAATTGCACAAATACCTAAATTGTATTTAAAATATTGACAGTAAAGAAAAACTAAGGGCATATTTCGAATCAGTGTCAAAAAACCTATCAGAAAAAGTAAAAAATAATTAATAAATATTCCATTACCCAAATTTGTCAAGTTGTATTATTATTAACATATGTATTAAACATCACAATTATATGAATAAAGCAAAAATCATCTTATCACTATTCCTTCTTAGAGGTTTAAAATAACTCTTACATTACTAAATATATCACATCAGTCTCTTACAACTCATCAATAATTGTCACACAAGGAATTGTATTAGAAGTGACCAATTATAAATAATTTTACACTATCTCAAGTATATTATAAGTGAACCCTAGAAAACTTTTTCCAGTATACAAAAAGGCCCATTTTCTGGTTAAAAAAAAGAGTTTTTGTTCAAATTTTAATCACATGTAATCTGGTCTGTTTAAATAAATATTTTGTCCATTGAATTTTTTAATATATTACCCTAAACTAGTTCCGGATTGCAGCTGAATCTTGCTCCGGAAACTTCTTCCTCGAGTAACAGCAGTGTCGTTTCGCTCCGAGTAATTGTTACCTTGTTGTCGTCATCTGAGATCTTATGTAATAATATACTCGTCACTATTATAACAGTGGGCTATCCTGTTAGTGTCCAGGATACTGGTCTTTTTATTTACGTTCAAAGTATTTCTCACTTTTATAAAATACCTTTAAAATTTTTGCACACATTTTTATTTTTATTACTTGCTATTTTTAGTATCGATGCGATGCTGAGAAGGTGTTAGTTTTACTATTATGTGTGTTTTTTTTGTTTTGTCTATGTTACCACTTTTTCTCAACGAAAGTCAAAAGATTACAAATGGTATCTAGTTGTAGACATTACTCTCAAAAATAAAAAATTTTTATCTCGTTCCTCGTAATTGGTGAAAACCCTACAAAAAATTACGATTTTTAAAATCGGTAAGTTTTAACATATCTTTCACTTTTTTTTCTCTAAAAGTTGTTATAACTTATTGAAAAATGAATGAATCATAATCATTTTTTTATGATGAAACCTTATATATTTTTTATCTATTGATATCATATTTTGAAAATCTAACACTTAGCCTGCTCATGGGGTGGATTGAAAATAGCAACTTTTTTACAAAAACAAACTTTTTCAAGGTAACTTTTACAAAATGTTCGAGTACTACTCCGTCCTTCAAACATACAGGGTGTCCCACCACTCATTGACAACTTAAATAACTTTTGATCCAGTTAATATTTTTAGTTGATTTTTTTTTTAAATAATAGTTATACATTAGGTGTATAGCTATATCTCAATAATTAATTTTTTTACATTTTATTAAAAATATTAATTATTTTTAAATTTTAAATAAAATGTAAAAAAAAATCTAAGATAGCTATTTTGTAGAGTAGAATTTAAGAAAAATTTTAGTAAAAAAACATCTTATTAATATAATAATACAGAATATTAATTCAGTAGTAAATATTCTGTAGCGTTTTGAAGTTTGTGAAAATTTGAATTTTCATGTATTATTTTACGGTATTAAACATTGAAATACGTATTGAGAAAAGGACAGAAGAAAACGCTATATTTTCGTAATTACTGTGTATACTGTTACGTCACTATTTAGGGGGTCGACAGTATCCTAAGGGACCAACGGGGGAAAGCTGGCTAGGCTATTTCTACCTTAGATACTGAAGTTTCCTATTTAATTTATATTCCCTTAAAGGAACTACCAAGGGTCGCACTACAAAATATATATATATATATATAACACTTTAGGTTAACAACGATATAAATAAATATTTACTAAACAATTGAAATATTAAATGGATAATACAACCTGCTGGACACCTAGAGATGATTAATCCAACAGGGAGCTGACGGCCACACACACACACACTATAATATACGGGGTAGCGAAGTTAAGTTAATTATCAGGCAAAAGTAGTGATCGCGAAGATGGTAAAATGTCAACTGTCGATAGGGATATCTTATAGAGATGTTAAGTTCGTGAACGAATAGTTCATTTGAACTATTCACTTAGATGAACTATTCTGAACTGTTTCAGTACCTGTAACTTAACAGTTCACAGTTCGAAAAAAATTGGTAGCTATGTATAAATGAAATAGTTCGCGAACTTCTTTAAAAATTCTTTGTGGTTCGTTGTTCGAAATCCTGTAAATGGTTAATAGCTGTTGTAGAATTAGATAACAAATAAATTATATTGTTAAAACGTTACACGGTTTTTAACTGTTTAACAATAAAATAAATTCATACTATGTACAAATATTAGATCAGATTTCTGATTTAACCTAGGACTACTGGTCAATATATCTACCTTGAATTAGATGATAATGATAACATGAGCCATGAAGGTATTGATAATAATTTTTTCTTAGTTTATGATGTTTAGGTTAAGGGTTAGTTTATAACTTAATTGCCCATAAGTAGTGTGAACTACAACTGAACTGTGTACTGCTATACTAATAGTGATAAAATGAATAGTTCAATGCCAAACAATATCAGCATGATCAATAAAATTAGTGAACTTAAGAATAGTTCATTTGAACTATTCACTTGAATGAACTATGAACTAATGAACTATTCACAGAAATGAACTAAACTTTCCATCTCTAATATTTTATTATGGCACATTGGCCGTAAATTGCAAAAAGTGTTTATGTGTGCAGTCCGCCCTCCTGTTAGTAATGCTGTATGTCACTGTGTTAATTATATATATATATATATATATATGTCTATTAAACGGTACAACGATGTTATGGGAGACAGAGATATGGGCACATGCAAATGTGATCGTATCAATACATATGATGATAATGTGTATACATTACAAACTTGGCATTAATACTATGATAAGAAATTAGATAAGGCAATTATTACTATAATTAAATATGGTTATCCTATTATTGTCCAGGATACTGGTTTTTTATTTTCGTTCAAAGTATTTCTCACTTTTATAAAATACCTTTAAAATTTTTGCACACATTTTTATTTTTATTACTTGCAATTTTTAGTATCGATGCGAAGCTGAGAAGGTGTTAGTTTTACTATGATGTGTGTTTTTTTTGTTTTGTGTATGTAACCACTTTTTCTTAACGAAAGTCAAAAGATTACAAATGGTATCTAGTTGTAGACATTACTCTCAAAAATCAACAAATTTTACTACCCATTGCCGGAAATTATTAAAAACAATTCGAATCAGAATATATCATAAGTCGACAATATAAGTGATGAGCAGTGCAAATGACGTTCTTAAAAGGACGTTCTTTCCTATCCCATAGATAAAAAAGGAGCTGGGTGAATGTACACACAAATGCCGACCATGAACTGGTACGAAGTAGTACACAGCTGACTATCTCGCACGCGCACAAAGAAATGACAACTCGTTATCGTAATAATTTGAATGATAAACACCGTCGCAGCATACAAAAAGACAAAAAAAAAATAGGTACTTTTTGTCACGTTACAAGATATTCGGTAGTTTTTTCTTACTATAATATACATCTTATAAAAAAATAAATCAGATAGTACATTTGTAAAAAATATAATGTAATATTGATTAGTTTAATTATTATTTCAAAAAGCTGGGTATATTAAGTTGGCAAAATTTATAGTGAACACAATATACACGTCAACAAATTAAAAATATTATAAAAATCACTAACAATTGTGAATTTTTCATTTAATACGTGTCAAAGTATACCTCTATACGTTTATTAATCATATTTGTGATAAAAAGTTTTAATTTAAGAAATAAATAATTAATCAATAAGATGATTTTGAACTTATTTATTAAATTTATTATTATTCTGGTCACAATCGTTTCATGTAGAGCTGCTTTTAATTCTAATAAACAAATTTCCGACGATCCATTGGAAATAACAAAAACTCGGTCTTGGAAATACGTTCAAAATGAAATCGTAATTCTGCCAACACGTAAGAGAATAAGTTTGGCAGAACTGATAAACTGCAACAATAAACATGATGATAAAATAAATGGTGATGACGAATATGAGTACAATCATAAATACATTAAAGACAACTTTTTTCGTACTGCCTTAGTTACAAGAGTATTCAAATATATTGGCTTAGCTTCTGAGTATGCATATAGATTGAAGAATTCAAGTAGTTCAGATGTCACAGATTATAAAGCTTCATTACGTGCAATAATAAATATAGCAGACGCATGTATTAAAAAATTTCGTACGGAATATTTTTGGGAGAATGAGACAGACTTTGAATAAATATAGTTTAAAAAACTAAAAAAACACGCTTTTAAAGCACGTCGAACTAAAAAGTTAAAAATAATTTTTAAAATAAGTTTAAAATAATTATGAACAAAAAATACTAGTATTATTGTGATAAAAGCGT